TTTAATAATTTCAATTTCCATAATCAACCATGGCTCTGATACCAATTTTACCAGAGTGCGCAGAGTCAGCTGAATAAATTTTGCACTTATAATTTTTTTTGGGTCTAATTTGAAGTTTTTATATTCTTATAGTAGCTCCTAATTGCAAATTATATGTAAAGGGTATTTTAGAAAATTTTTGTTTCTGTAACTATTCTGTAAATGAATAGTTCTGTAAGTCTACCTTTCCCCATTATGTTATGGGCTATGTTCCCGGGCATCCACGTGTCCATTATGGTGACAATCATGTTATGGGCTATGTACCCATAGGCCATATCATAACACAACTAGAAATTTGGAAATGTATGAATAATCATACTAGATGTACATTAAATTTGACATGCTTGTGAGTGACAATTTTTTAAGTGCAATTCCACTTGTACATAAAAAAATGTGCATAAAGGATTACACCCCTCTCACATGGGTGGTGTGACCTACTGTATAAAATATTTTTTTATTTAAATGGGTCTTACCTCATTTTAGGGGGATATGTACACCCTTATGTACATCATAGTAAAGCTCTTTTTTTTTAATGCATCAAGTGTGAACTAATTTAATACATGTCTGAATTATGTGACGTTTGGAAGTAAGATCCAAAAAATTTACAGTCGCGCTTCCGAATTTTGAAAAGTCACCCTCAATATATTTTTTATTGACTAATAATGCTAAATCTCTAATTATTCAGAAAAATAAGGTTCCCCAGCTTTCTGGGAGGGCCTACCATATTCTTAATATTCTAATTCAAAAGGATGCCAAGTCAAACGACAAATACAGAGTCAAACATAAATAAAATCGAAACATTGTGTAGTAACTAACTGCATGCAACCCTTGGCGCACATAGACAAAAATATTAACTGTATGCATCCCCTTACGAAAAGTTGCATTCCCTCCTAAATGTCATCATTCAAAATGTATATATACATTGCCCACCATAATCTATCTGCATTATTAGTTCTTCAATTAAAAGGAAGAGGGAGAGATTGGGAAGATGGATGCCGAACATTACGGTGGATGGGGTGTGGGATCGGTAGTGACAATTCTGTGTATTGTGTTGTGTTTGATATTTCTGCCGCTAGCAATGGGGCCGGGGTCGCTGCAACCGCCACCCTTGTATGTGTTCCTCATTTTCCCTGTCTTGATGGCTGTCATTCTCATTTACCTTGCCAAGGCTTCAAACACTCGTTAGTTCTTTCAATTATACTGTTATTTAGAATTTTGTACACAATCCTCTTTTGCAGCAACAGTAGCTTTTCCTTTTTATGTATTACGATGGTTTTGCGATTTTAGATACAAAAATTTACAGATTTTTCAATGGCTTCCATCTTTTTTTTCCTTCATATTTATGATTGTCATTCGATGCATATAATGAAACTGCAGCAACCGGAAAGGCATCACTGTCCATTTGCGTGAGATCAATTATTCCGATCATAGCCTAAAATGGACAAGTCCATATACACAATGTGCCATTTCCTGTCAACTTGGGAGATCAATGGAGAAGCCAAAAATATTATACAAGAAAAATAAACAGCTATCTATATCAAAAAACCTAAGAAATTTACAATTAAACAGAACCTTCAATCCAAGGGGGTTAAACTGGTACATTTCTATCCAGTGAATTAAAATATTTTCCAAGAGTTGCATCATTTATTTTATGTATCGAAGTTAAAAGTTTTGTCTAACAACACCTTGAATACAGAGGCTGTATCTCACTACTATAAACAGAAACATCTCTATGGGTTTAATGTCAGCATCATCCAGAATCCCTATCAAATGGAAACCATGATTCATGTCCCTGGCCAGTCAGTATCCATATGTGAATCGACATCAACCTGCAGACAATAATCTTAAACAATATAATGAAAATGCTAAAAGTTTCTCATCCAAATGGAGTTTCAAGTGCATGTTAGATTTTAGTTTCTTTTTCTTTCTCAATATTGTCCAATCATCGATACCAAACATATGATAAAGGTACAGACCTGCTCACAGAAGTTTGCTGGAATATCAAATTCTGTGCCAGAGACATTTGCAAGTTCTTCAATTGTTTCCTAGTAAAACCAAAAAGCCTTCGTAAAATCACTTTTCAATCACCAGAAAAGGTCATTTAACTAATGAGACGTGCCCAAGAAATTGTAGAATGAAAAGAAAAAACATGTGCAAGCATCCACTCAATACAAAAAGATACCACCCGTTTCACTTAACACTTGATATGACATTCAATTATTCAAAATATTACGTTTTACTCCAGAAGAAACAAATATATGCAGGATTGACTCAGTTCACAATTGTGCATGCAGAGGTGCGCCTCCTTTTAATGGGGCATCGAATTTGCTATGTTGAATATAAACCTGAATGCAGTTACGTTGGCATATATGGCAAACATCATGTACCATACAATGGGAAGCTCAGTTCATTTTTCTTCTGACGATTAAAGTAAATATGCGCCATTTTCAACATAAATTGAAAGTATCCAGCTTTCTAAGATCTTGCCATATACTCTTTACATGGATGTTCCTCAAGATTTTGGGGGTGCAGGAGGGGAAGAACATTATTGAAGCACACAGGTCTGTTTGTAACCCCACCAAAACGGAGAAGTTTTGGACATAACTATCACCTGTTCGTCAAGGTTGACCGAAGAATTTCCTATTCCAATGGAGGAATCTTCAGTAATCCCTTCAGTAGTTTCCATTAAGCCCTGAAAAATGAAAAATGTGAAATCAACACTGAAGAATAGGGATTGCTACCAAGAAGCAATGCCAATCATTTAACTGCAGGAAACCCTCAGCACAAGATGTATCAAAAGCTCTCCATTTCAAATGCCAGATAGAAAATAACATTGATCAGCTGAGGCTGTCTTGACCAAGTGCGAGGAGAAGCATGATCAGATAGACATCATGCACTGTCCTCTACCCAACTGTTCACCAGCAACTTTCTGGTTCTCCCTTTGGTGCTCATTCCCGGTTTAAGATTTATTGCTTATCAAAACATAATAAATTTCAACAAATTGACCCATTGCAAAGCCATCGTAACACATTTACAAAGCAGACGTATAATTTTGGTTACTTGTGATATTTGCTTGGAGTATGTGGCTTTGTGCCATGCACTACAGATAATTTCATGAGTTCAATTTGTATTGATTTTCTTTTACCTGTAATGTACACACTGACCAAGCACAAACACAATTAGTTCAATTTGTATTGATTTTCTTTTACCTGTAATGTACACACTGACCAACCACAAACACAATTATCAAACCGAGGAAGAATGTCAAGACCATCAAGGATCCTCTCAACATCCTTTTTCTTTACTTTTTTTTGAGCAGATACGAGGGAACTACCTACACTTTCACTCTTGTGATGCTGGTACTGGTACATAATTGAGTGCGACTGACATAAGCTCATGCTCCCCCTTTTACACATTTAATCAAAACTAATCATATGAAAAGATCCATGCAAATGAGCGGCTGAAAACATAATTCTAGGCAAATATCTGATTCTCTAGAATACAGATCCAAACCCTGGTCTGGCCATTCTTTATTCTACTATGACAAGATAGCTGCAGTATGCAAACTCCACTTTTAAAAAGACTTGCATGTTAAAAAGTGAGAGTCAGTGCTGCCATCGAAGAGAGTTTACCAAAAATAAAGTGAGAGTCAGTGCTGCCATTGAAGAGAGTTTACCAAAAATAATATACTTGTGTGAATTTCTAACAATTGTTCATAATCTGAAGTCCTTGCTCAATTATTGCTATATGCACAGCACAACCAAGAAGGCATGCAGTCAATCATTGTGGGTTTGCAGAATCCCAGATTTTAATAAATGCACTTCACTGATAGCTTCTTAAGTAACCAGAGATAAACTGGAGGTATTCTAGGATCATCTAATAAAATGATGATTCCAGGAGCAAAACTACCTAGAGGAAAAAAAAATATAACAATCATGCTTCATGTACATCATGGTCAAAAACAAACTTGATACTCTTCCATGTAGCAGCAATCTACATCATTGATTTTAAACATATCCATCCCATCACTACCCAGATTCCTTCCACCCAGGGGATGTCATCCTTGGTGTCAACCAAGGATGATCATCGAGCTTAATTCAAAATATAATAACCACCAAATATGGAGCAAATTTTAATAAGCAATAGTCACTTGAACAAGCAGTTCCTGATCCAACTGCAGATAAATCCATTTCCCATTAAAGTTACCCAGGCACTTTTTATAATATTTATATATACTTTCTCCTAACATTTGGTAATCTAAAGAGTGCAAACCAATGTCCAGTTGAATGATATCATAAAAAATTATTTCATCTCTTATTCCCAAAATTTCTTGTTTTGTTGGGGGAGCGTCTGGAAAGTTCTGTTTGTTATAATGATTCATCTTGTGATATCGGAAATTCAGTCTTTGATTGTAAGCTTTGTTGTCAAGCTGATACTGAAATTTAATGTGAATAATATCCTATTTGAAGTCGTGTATGGTTACTCCTTGTCCTTCCAAACACGTGTTGGCACGTCACAAGATACCATCACATGTTAATACAGTTTAAGCCAAGATACGACATAACTATCTGTGCCAAAATCAGTATTACTTTTGAAGAGTGCTACCTGCGCAGTTGGTCTAATTGAAAACTTTGCAGACTCCAATAGTGCAGGTTGTGTCTCCTCTGGGGTTCTCTGTTCACCAAAAGGGGAAAAAAAAGGTGTATTTTAGAATTACATTTGAGAAATTATATAACGAAGTAAATTTTCATTCACCCATTTCCTTCAAACAATATTCGAACTAGCCGCATCTTAAAGTAATCTCCTATTTCTATTTATTAGTTTCTATGTCTCAATCAGAATATCTTCCAAGAATCAAAGATTCCACGCATCACATTCTATTGATTATGAAAAAAAATAAACTAAAATCCATAAACAGTCAAATAATTGACAAATCAATATCTCCTGAAAATAGTCAAATAAGTGACAAATCAATATCTCCTGAAGCCAGCGCCAAAGATCTCCAATCCAGTAAGTTTAAAATAGATGTTATCCACACATAATTACCTCCTCGTCCTGGTTGTGACAGGAACTTTCAGGTTCACTGGCTGCAGGCTTGATCTCAGGAGTTTCCTGGTGAATTTATGGACGTCATAACAGAATTTGACAATAAGGTAACACTGTGGAAACTGGAGAAAGTAATACAAGTCTTGCCCCCATCAAGACAATGATAACTAAGCATCATAAAAGTGAAGGTTAAAAAATGAACTGAATCTTCCTACGTAATATTATTTGGTCAGTGAAGAAGAATAGGTAGAAGTTGAGCTGCTTCTCAGATACATACTGGATCACTTTGATCAAATGATACATGCTTCTGTCCCTTTGTAAGATCCCTCAGAGTTCCCTAAAAACATAACTAAATGATGAGAAAAGAGAATGGAGTAACAAAATGTAAATATTAAAATGATACTATTTGTTATTGGTTCTAGAACTCTTTGGATTATATGTTAATTTCATCTCTAACTAAAAACAATAATCAAAGTGGATAACCTCACCTTGTTTGCCCACATCAATCCACAGGCATTGCATAAAGTTCTAGGACCTGCTGGCCCCCGCCGCATTGCTGGCGTAGAATTTTCAGTAACCCCACAATGTAGACATCTACGTAACCTATTAAAAGAATGAGAAATCAAAACTCCATACAAAAGAATGACTAAGAGAAGGTCACAATAATTATAAAACACTAAAAAATTAAGGGGCTCTGTATTTTCCGATACTTTTCTGATTCCAGAAATTTGAAAGAAGATTGTTACTGGGCCGTCAATTAGAATTAGTTGGGGCATGCTTTTAATATATTTATCATGAAATATTCTAGAAGTAAGCAACATGTCCATTTCTTCATAGATGACAAGATTAGGCAGCAGAGCAACCATGGGAGATAACTTATATACCTAAATGTTTCGAAGAAAGATGCAGAAACTTGTTGCTATGTTGATATTTGTCAAATTTAATTACTCAACAGATTATACAGACAAAAATATAATGGAAACAGCTGCCAAACAGATTTTTCTATCTACTCTTCAGGTTTTAGATGTTGAATTAAAAGAGAAGCCTCTTGTTAAAACATTAAGTATCATATTATAGTTCCTTGGCAGCTTCAACAAGAATGTGTTTCCATTTTATAGAGGAAAAAAATACAAATAAAAAAAAAAAGGGCCGGCAAGCATAAATTATTGCAACCACGAACCATGATGTAGAATGCTACATGCTAAAAGAAGAACAAAAAATAAAAATGGGACATGACATGGTGTAAAGTATGATAAACAGAGCGTTGAAATAAGCTGCTGCTATTATCCAGTGAAGAATAATCTCCATACTCACACTGGTTCTGCACGAGAAGTGTCGTGGCTTGAAACCCAAATATCATTCGATGTTTTGGGACTCTCTTTTACAGAGGCAAATTGGCCATTTTTACGGTGCATCCTGAGAGATAATTCAGTCAAACATAAAAATAATTAAACAGAGAAACAAAAGCATTTACTTTTGTAGAGTATAACTGAAAAGCAGTTTCTATAACTCAACGTACTCCACTCAAAATTTCTATTCTTTTTGGTTAAGCAAAGTAGAAACACTAATGAGCAATAATGCCTTTCCAAAGTTCCTTTCCCATTATAATTGACCACATCGCAGTACAACTTTCTAAAGTTCCCCTTCTTGACTCTCAACAATGTCGGGATTTAGCCAAGAAACTCTAGCTAACAATGCTCTTAACTAAACAAACCAATCGTGGCAGAAATTTCTCTTGCAGAGCAACATAATGAAAATAACAGCACATAATACTTTTTAAGCTGTAAATAAAACTCACCTCTGAGCAACTTCTTTTCGGCAAGAGTACCTAATCTTCTTCTCAAAGCATCTCTCTTTCCGCTTCTCACGGAATCTAACCAGAGATGCAATTCTCCGAGAAACAGTAGGAGGACTCAAACCATCATCTACAGCCTGCATTCCATTTCACATGGTAACATTAACAATACCTTAATAAATTTTGTGCATAAAAATTAAATTAAAAACCAAAAAGCAATATATAGTGAGTACCTTGCCATTCTGTCGTGACAGAAATTCTGAGCTTGGTGCACTACTAGGCATTTCTTGGCCACCCAATAGTAACAACACTGCTTGCACCTACAATTTTTTTATAGATATAAACAAACAATACCACACATCAACAAAGAAACAGCATGCAACAGTCAATCAATTAATCAATCTATTTATCCATTTACTCACTCATTCAGTTGATATAACAATCATCATCAATAAAATAAACAAACAACACAAAAAATAGCACAAAAGCGTGAAATTCCATAAAGCAATCCAAATGCAATCAACTAATCAATCTATTTTATCCATCACTCATTCAGCTACTATTAAATCAATCTTCGTCACTCGTCAGTAAAATAAAAAAGAAAAATAGCACAAAAGCATGAATTCCATAAAACAATCCAAATGCAACCGTCAGTAAATTAATCAGTCTACTTATGTAACTTGTCCATTTATTCACTAATTCAGGTACTATTACATCAATCTTCTTCAGTAAAATAAACAAACAACAAAAGCATTAAATTCGATAAAATAATCCATTAATTCCAATATACCCAAACGCAGAAAATTATGACAAAAATCAGTTTTACAAACCTTTTCAGGAGTGACGGCGGGAAAAACATAAACTTCCCCTTCAAAGGAGATGGTGAGCTCACTAGTCCTCGATGCAGGGGTTCTCGACTGATAATTTACAGGAACCGCCATTGGTGTCGACATTTCCTCACTACTACTCATCTTCTCCTCACCGCCGCCGCCGTTATCACCGGCTTCGAATCCTCCGCCGTTGTCATGCACTCTTATTGGCATGATCATATAGTCCTCACCGCACGGCCTCGGTTTCATCGCGTCCATTTATTTATATATACACATATGCATGCATGTATATAACCATATATACATATGTCTGTATCTGTGTGTACACTGAATATATGTGATTAAACGGAAGAGAAATCGGAACCCTAACCCTAAGGAAACGGTGTACGAAATTGTCAAGACATTGATTAATAATCAATTAAAAATTGATTTTGAAGTAATTAAAATCTGATTATGAATAAGTGATTATTGTGCAAATGGATAAAAGAAGGAAAAGTGCCTATACTACAAATTGGGGGAAGCAGAGGAAATCATGGCCGTTTAATTAAAATGGGATCACGTGATGGGACTGAAGTGGGGTCCAGTGAACGGATAGAATCACGCGACCGGGGAGGTTTTGTTTTTGTTTGATTCGCTCGCGTGGCAATTACATATCAAACGGTGGGTTTTGGATTCGAGTTCAAATGAGAGGTCTACTCATAGTTATTAGACTTACTCGAACATCAATCTAAATAATGTACTGAATCTTGAGTTACTGGTTGAACCGGTGGGTCAGTGATCGGATCGATGTATCATTGCATAAAATATATTAAAAAAAAATTAAAGTTTGAATTTCTTTAGGCAAAATTATTATTTTTAAATTATTATTTACTAATTATATAGATCCATAAAATAAAGTAAAATGTTTAACCAAAATTTTTATAAAAAATACTTTTAGAAAAATTATTATTTTTAATATATATGATATGATTAAGTGGATACATATAATTTATTGCACATAAAAAACACTAAAGTGCTCTACAACTCCAATGGTGAGGAATTAATTGTTTTACTTAGCGGTCCAATGTTTAATTTCTTGAACCCCCAAAATTTTAAAAAGCAATTTTGAAAATCGGTAAACCGGCCGAGTAAACTCGATCAAAACCGTCGATTAACTTGGTCAAAATCGATTTTTGACCGAATCATATGCATTCCTATTAAATTAATCTATCCAACCCGGACAAGGGCTTGGATCACCAATTTTCCGACTAGGCCGGACCGGATTTTATAACTATGGGCCTACTTGTATTTCTTCGATAAATTGAATAGAATATGTAAATAAAATAAAAAAAGAATATGTGTTTGTATGCTCGTTTGAGTTTATTATAAGTGGTTGAAATAATAATTTGATTGAAATGAGGATTGATAAGCGTTAATTGTATTTTACATGATTATTAGTACTTGTATATAAACGGATTATAGTTGTAAGATTGAGTGAATTTGTACTTAATTTAGTGCTTGTTTGAGTCTTATTTTTTGTTCAAAATGCATTTGGGCAGCGGCAGACCCTACACTCGATGAGGGGCGCGCGGTCGCCCTTGCTGGGCTCCACCGGAACAATGCTCTGAAGTGAGGAAGAAGGAGACGAGCACGGGAGACAGAGGCGAGGGTTTTTTCTCTTTTTTTTTTTTTTGGTGATTGGGCATTTTAGTTAGGCTGAAATTAAAATTTATTTTAGCTGTGCCTTATCTTTACAATTGACCAGGCCCAATCCAATGTTTAATTATATATATTGTGCAAGCTCATCTCGTTTTCAAAAATCAAAACTATTTCCATTTTCCAATTCCGCATCCCGGTGACGCCTCCACCAGTCCAGCCATGCCAGTGCTGGAAGACTCAAGTCTCGGAAGCCGGAAGGTCGGAACCAGCACCCGTTTTCAGTGATCGGCTGTCGAACATGAGTTTTCTATTTTCCAACTTTTTTTTTTTTTTTTAATTCATGAGTTATGACTATCCTTACTCAGCATTATGATTTATATTGTATGAGTTAATTGGGAATTTAGCATTGAAATGAGATTTGTGATTTGTGAACATGTGAATTTGTGATTTGGGCAAATATAATTTATGTTGCACTATTGTTAGAATTATGAATTTTAATTTATCATTAATGAGCCATTGAGTTATGATTTGAGAATTATGATTCAACAATGTACTCTACTTTTTTAATCAATTGCAATTGAAAAATAAATTTGATAAGCGTTAATTGTATTTTACATGATTATTAGTACTTGTATATAAACGGATTATAGTTGTAAGATTGAGTGAATTTGTACTTAATTTAGTGCTTGTTTGAGTCTTATTTTTTGTTCAAAATGCATTTGGGCAACAACAGACCCAACACTCGACGAGGGGGCGCGGTCGCCGGTGCTAGGCTCCACCGGAACAATGCTCTGAAGTGAGGAAGAAGGAGACGGGCGCGGGAGACAGAGGCGAGGGTTTTTTCTCTCTTTTTTTTTTGGGCATTTTAGTTAGGCTGAAATTAAAATTTATTTTAGTTATGCCTTATCTTTAAAATTGACCAGGCCCAATCCAATGTTTAATTATATATATTGTGCAGGCTCATCTCGTTTTCAAAAATCAAAACTATTTCCATTTTCCAATTCAGCATCCCGGTGACGCCTCCACCAGTCCAGCCATGCCAGTGAGGAAGACTCAAGTCTTGGAAGCCGGAAGGTCGGAGCCAGCACCCGTTTTCAGTGATCGGCTGTCGATCGTGAGTTTTCTATTTTCCAACTTTTTTTTTGTTATTTTTTATTCATAAGTTATGACTATCCTTACTTAGCATTATGATTTATATTGTATGAGTTAATTGGGAATTTAGAATTGAAATGAGATTTGTGATTTGTGACATGTGAATTTGTGATTTGGGCAAATATAATTTATGTTGCACTATTGTTAGAATTATGAATTTTAATTTATCATTAATGAGCCATTGAGTTATGATTTGAGAATTATGATTCAACAATGTACTCTACTTTTTTAATCAATTGCAATTGAAAAATAAATTTTATCATTAATGAGTTGTGATTTGCGATTTGGGAATTACGATAAGTGTAGGTTGCATTGCATATTTTTTTAGTATTTTCGATTGTATTGAATTATATTTTCATATGTGTGTGTGTGTGTGTGTGTGTGTGTGCGCATGTGTGTGTGTGTGTGAGATTATTTTATTAAAAAAATATGATTGAAAATAAAAGAGAGAAAAATATATTTTGGAAATAATGGATTCCAAATAAGGGCTTAGTGTATATATTGTCATGGTAGATGAAATTAGGATTAGCGCAAAAATGAGGATTTTAAGTCTAATTAGAGTTTATTCGGAGGAGTGCATACGAGCGATAAGAAGTATTAAGATACAATTGGATGAAAGTCATAAGTTTTGAAAGCGAAATTCGACTTATGAAAAGTTGAAGGACTAATTTGAACACATGCTTTTAGAACTTAAGGAGGGCCAAGTTTGGATGATTATGGAGATCAAGGGACCAACGTGGAAGATTTTGAAAGTTTCGGAATCAATTTTGAAAATTTGGATCAAAAGGGACCAAAATTGAAGAAAACCTGAAGTAGGGGGATCGAAATGCAGAAAGTTGACAATTGCAGGGAGACCACCATCCATCCAAATGTTCAAGCCACGCAACTATTTGTCACGGTTAGACCTCGATTTGCTTACCACGATCAGACTGTAGTTGGCACAGTTCTTTGAGTTCGATTGTAGTTTGCAAATTGCTTCCCGAAAAAGAAAAATAAGGTTTTTAAGGGCACGCCTTCCAAAGCAAGACAAGTACCATATAACACCTCTTTCAGGTAGAAACAAGTGAGGTTTTGCACATGGGTTGTACATGACGTAAAGATGAGAAAATACAAGGGAAAGTAGGGTTTCAAGATTTTCCAAGGAGAAGACGGATTTTTGGTGGTTCTCCTTTTTCCTTTAATTTTGGCGATATATTCCGAAACCTTTTTGTGTTTTTCTTCCTCTATAACGTGCAACTAAACCAAAAGTTGGGATATTTTGAACCTCAATTTTAATTAGTATGTTTTAATATTCAATTAATATGTGTTTATTGTTCTTTACTTTTTTTTCATGGAATTAATTGATCATTAATTCATTAACATATGAATGGCAACAAGTCAAGAGATGAGTTATTTGTTTAGATCAAATCGAAATTTAGGTAGAAGGTAGAGATACACTTTTTACTAATTCGTAGTGCTTAATTAAATTCTTTGATGATTGAATGCTCTTAGTTAATGCATCTCTGATTCTCACAATGATATAGTGAGGTGATTTAATTGAGTAAAATTTGTATGAACTCAAGTGATGAAAATCAATTAATTTTTAAGGATTCGATTGTGTACACATAATTGATTGTTGTCGAAATTTGGGGATTGCGATTAAGGTGATAACTACGGTGAGCTCATGAACATTAATATTTTTCATATATAAGTAAAAACCCTAAATGGTTTATTTATGCACTTTTTGATTATTTTTACTTGAATAGAAGTTACACATAGTGAGACTAATAGTTAAACAAATAGTATGTAAAGATTTCAATTGAACATGTGGGTTTATATGTGAAACATTGTGTATTAAATTAAAAGCTATCAATTTTAGTTAAGTCCGTTTAAAGTGAATTAATAAGGTTTCGGTATTTTGAGATTTGAAGCATCCAATTAAAGTGTGAGTCTTTATGTGTAAAGACCAGGAATGTTCCTAATTTCATGATGTGCCAAATTAGGTCAATGGGTTGTTAGTATGAATATACAGTTATGGTCCCCAGATCATAGATCATACATTTTTGGTTCATTATGTTCTGACTTCCATCATCAAAGAGAAATAAGGAACAACGTATTAATCTGGAAGACTAAAATCACAGGATTCATCCATTGCGATAACAATGTCTGATTCAGGTACGCTTCCGCTTCAGTTCACAAATTCTTGATGATCGAACATGAATGATCGTTATGACGATAAAAAATTTTCCTTAACAAGTGGTATCAGAGCCTATTCATGTTGAATTATTGAGAATCGAAATTTTAATTTCGTTTTTGTGATAATTTCATTACTTTTGAATTTAGCAATCCAGATTTAGTTTTGTTAAATTTGAAAATTTTTCGATGGTCTTCCATGATTTCCAGAATTTCAGTTAAAAAAAAAGGAGAAATAATTTTTTTTTACAGTGGCCGTGCGGGCTGCAGCAAAGCAACACCGCAGG